TCAGATCTCTTTAATTTCCAGTATTTCGATTTTTCAATTTTCGTTTCTTCAGTTTTTCAAGTTCTTGACTTCCAATTTTTAGATTTTTCAAATTTCTCCTTTTAGACTTCTTCGGATTTTCATTTTTGATTTTTCTATTTTACCGTTTTGCAATTTTTCTTTAAAACTTTAAAAATCGAATGACTGAAAAATATAAAATTAAATAAACGAAAAATTAAAAAATCCAAAAGTTGAAAAATCGAAAAATTGAAAAAATTGAAATTGAAATTCACAAAATTATAAATTCCCAACATTGAAGGATCGGAAAATAATAAATAAAAGGGTAAAGAAAATAAAAACAGAAACGAAAAATTGCAAATAAAAAATTTGAAGAAATGAAAAATTGAAAGTCGAATAACTGAAAAAGCTTTAAAATCTAAAAATTTAAAAATGGAAAAATTCCAAAATTAAAAAGTGGAAAAAGATTTAAAATTGTTATTACATATTTAAAATGAAAATTTGAAAAAATGCAAATCGAAAAACTGAAGAAAATAAAAACTGAAAAAATTAAAATTGAAAAAAAGATTATAAAATCGGAACTTTGACTTGAAAAACTTTTATTTTAATGTGTGTCCCCTCTTGAGCAATTTAATAACTTTTTTAATTCATCTTACATTTCCATTAAAACTGTTTTTGTTATACTTTATGTTTTTATTTAAAATATTTCAAATCAATATTTTTTTCATTATTTGTACTATTATCATGATTCTTCCAAATATTACCACTGCCAATAATAATATAATGGGTGGCAATATAATGAACACTGTAGTTATTAAACTTTATTCATTACGCAACCCTAGTTTGTTAGGTTACATTAAAAACTCGAATGTATCATGATAGAAAATGGCTATGTTATGGTATCCCCCTTACGTAGTATAAAATAATAACTTCAAGTTCCTCAGAACTTTTACAATTAATTATTTCAGTGGTCCAAATAGGTCTAACGTTTCATTAATATTCATTATACAGGGTCGCTAGAATGTATGCAAACGGTTAAATATCTTGAGAACCAATTCTAGAAATCACCTGAAATTAGATATAGGGCTATAAAAAGTTGTGGTCTAATTATTCGTCAAAAAAAATATTTTTGCTTCATTTGTTTTCGAGATGCAAGGCCAACTTGATTTTTTTTAATGTATATAATAATTAATTCATTTTTGGAGACAGCTTTTTTTTAAATCATTGATATAGCACAATCATACTTTCTATATGCCTCAGGTGCCGTATGTAACAGCTATTTTATCAAAATTGTTTAAACAAAAAACGCATTGCGTTTCAACATAATCAACAAGTTCGCTATAAATTATTTACTGAATCTACAGAAACTAAATTAGTTTCTACTTAATTAAGGTAAAATATTTAATTGGTTTAGTTCATAATACCACACGATTCTTATAAAGTGAGCATTAAACGCACTTACATCAGTGGAAAAGCAATTAGTCGGAACTACAGGGCAATATATACTCGTATTACTCAAATTTCTCTAATCGAAAACTACAACCACAGACTCCATATTATTCCATTAATGTGATTCATTAACCTGCTCCACTTGCGTTACCAAATTACATTTCACTAGCTCGAACTCATTTTACTTGTTTAAAGCAAATATTTCTTTACCCATATTGGAACACCTATTCAACTGCTAAGCCATTGAACTAAATCTGGAGGAAGCCTAAACCTTCCAAAGTAATTGCTAGCAGTATTTTAATAACTGCCTAAAATATTAATTGCTTAATTAAAATAATAACTAATCCTTTCACAGAAAAAAATTCAATGTTCCTATATTAACTATTAGATAATTTATTTACATTTATGAAACTACAGTACTAGTTGAGATGATGAAAAGTAGGTAGCTGTAGTGTACACGCACCTATCAAAGCCTTTGATGTAGTGAACCACGATATATTGTTACCTAAATTAAATTTGTTTTGGGTCTTAGATAATTAAATTGCTAGTCGGGTAGTATGTAGATTTCAAGTTATAAACAATTCGTGTTGCCGGCTACTCAGGTGTCTGCTAGAGATTCAGTATGGGTGCTTTTGATTTATGATTTTTATAAGTAAAAACAATGAAAATATAAAAACTGTAAGACTCTTATTTGCTAAGAAATTAAAATTAGTTAAAATGTTTATTGTTTCAACGTTTGAACCTAAGCTTTTAGAAAAACCAAAGCTTACAAAAGTAGATAAAATAATTTGTCCGGTCTATATAATTTCGAATATCTGTTTCGAAGCTATATTGCTTTTCTATTTTATTATAAATTGTTATATAAATATTTATTGCTTTTCTTAAAAACGCAAAAGCTTGTTCTAAAAGACTACACTGAGTTGCAGTCAAATATGAATTGAATCTCAAAAAAATCTTGAACACAAATCTTGTGGTAGGTTTTGCGCATGTACCAATAACTAGGTTTCATTGGTCTGTCATTTGTCGCTCCAGCTGGCTGCGCTCCACTCAAAATCTATTGATTTGAATTTTCCCGCCAACAAGTGGAGCGTGTTTTTACAATATTTTACACCAAAACCTGGATAAACATCTTTGGGAAAGCATGGTATCAAAGAGTGATGTCATTGTAATTACTTGTGAAATTAAAATTTTAGAACTAATTTCAAATCTTTTCAGATCAGCACGTGTCATTTTATTTCATTATCACAGCCTTAAAAGCAAGAGAAATTTAATTTTGTTATAATAAATATTATAATTATAAACTTAACACAAAAGTTGCTACACAACTCGAAAAAATCGATAACCTTATTTAGGTAACATTTTCCAATGCTTCAAAATTTAATTTAATTTTCTAGTTCATATATCACTTCTCAGTCTTTAGTATTGCGACAGTTGGGTTAAATACTCTACTTTATGACTCTCTTGGGTCTAATGAAAGACCTTTTTTTTCCATTCCGTTCGTGATTTGTTTCGCCATGCAATAAAACCGTAAATGAAGGAGACACTACACTGATCCGAAATTTTCTGGTAGGTACACTTGAAAGTCAAGTTAATGATGGGAGTAAACATCAGGTTAAGAAATATGTCGTAGGGTGCATTTAAAATGATATTTACTTAAGTAATATTTGCGGTGACGTCATCAACAGTTTGAAGAACAAAAAGAAGAAGATACATTTTAATTAGCAAACTTATTTTAGAGTCAAAATTTTATCTCCAATCGTTAATTTTTTTGTTTGAAAAAAATCGCAGGATTTATTATAAAGGACGAAGACGATTTTTTTCAAACAAAGCAGGTGCTAAAAGTAATCTTGGAGCTACTTCTTGTTTTCAGTCCCTGATTAATGAACAAACGTATCCAGATTTTTTATTTTACAAGATGATAACTGATAACCTAATTTTATGAACTATACTTGCCATACTTTGATTCCTCTACGGCAAAATCAAAGATTTTTTTTTTCAAAATTTTCTAGAATATTTAACAAATAATGCAGAAAAAGTACTGCAAACATTTTATTACCTTATTACCAGGTAATAATATACAAATATTATTGGAAAATTTTCTGTATAAACAGATGAAAACCATCACTGAAAACAACAATTTAAAATTGCATCGATGGAAAACTCATGAAGTAATATTACGCAAATAATATTGGAACATTTTCTGTACCAATAAGTAGAAGGAAAACATCTTCGAAAACAACAACTAAACCCAATTAAATCATTTCTGTTTGAATAAATTGGATCACAAAATCTGGACATATACGTAACTTCCAAATAAAATAACAACAAGGGATTTTATATTTTTAGATATTTTTAGCCGACATGGCTGCTCCGTCATGAATTTAAATACCAACATTTTTTTTATCAACAGAAAAATCAATTTACTTCTCTGTTGTTAAGTAAACAGATATCTTTCCGACGGAAACATCTACTTGAAAAAAACTTTAAATGATTGCTGTGTACACGGGAAGCTTAAACATGGCAGAAAAACCTACACTAAGTCAAGTTTCCACAAATTCTCTTAAAAAGTTAAATATTTCTTTTTCGAAATTATAAAAACCAAAAAAGGTTAATGGATCCTTTAAATACACACATTTATAACACAAGCACACAGCTTTTTTAAGTCAATGTAAAGATATTTTTTTTATATTAATTTTTTATTTTAGGTAGTAATTGTTTCAAATATGAATACCATAAAGTTAACATTACGAAATATTATGTGTAAATACCGCAGCTGTAAATATTTAGGTTTTTTGTCATCATAACACCGGAAATAAACAAAAAACTTACTACATCTTTGTACTTATATTACAAAAAAAGTCATAAAGTCAAAAGCTCCGGTTTGTTTTTTGGAAACCACTTATTTCGACTCGATCGTAAATGCAAAAATTGTGTCAAAGGAAAACTCGGAACGAAATGTATTTTAGAAAGACAGCCCCTGCCAATAATAAACCAGTTTCTCCACGAGACAAGAAAGAAGTTTTATTTACAAGGATACAGTTACAATTTAATGAAGTAGGAAAGAGTTATTGTTACGCAGCCTCAATGTTGCTCAGATAATGTTTAGAAATGTTTGAGCCAGACAAAAAAAAAATGATTAACTAACACACAGCGTAATCCTTTCAAACATTGTTGAAAGTAAAGCGTCAATTATAAAATGTATGCACTTTTCTTGCGACGCAAAGTAGCAAACATTAATAAACATTAACTTGATAAACGAGCAACAAGACTGCTCTTCCCTAATATAAATTAATGAATAAAACTAACAACCTCTGAAGTAGGAAAATCCAAATTATGCTTAGCGAAAGTGTCGCTTGAAGGTGTCCCACGTAATTTTAGTAATTACTATCATAACATTATAAGAACTGTTATTTCGCATAAAGTTAATTATAACAGAGTGTTATCTTTCCATTACCCTATTTTCGTCTTTCAAAAAGCAAACAAGAAGCAAGTTTGCAGTAACCTAGTCTTGTAACCGAATATTTCTCATTCCGCTAACAACAGTTATTTTTTACCTGTTGCCGAAACAATGTGTCAAGGAAAGCAAATGTTCACATTCGAACCACTTTCACTGAGTTGTTAAAAGTTTTATAGAGAGCGTCTACCGGCGTTGAGATAACTTCGCGTCCGGGTGACCGAAAGCTTGGGCTACTGCAAGCTTTAACACCGACACGCACACTACAGATGAAGCGTCGCGACGCCAGCAGACGCCGGCTGGTACAGCACGGGATTCTGCGCTTGGGAAAAGCTGTTAGAGAAGACCCAAACTACAAAGTAACCCAGCGATAGCTTTCGGAAGGAACTGTGTTTGAGACGCATGGGTTTGTTCCTAAGTGCTAAGAAACAATTATATGAGATTATATATTTTCCATCACATTACGTGTTTGGATAAATCACTACATTTAATTTTGAGAATGATTCGATTGAGCTTTTAAGAATATTATACTGTAATAAAAATGTTCCAAATAAAAAATGTAAAAATTGTTCTCTCAATAATTTTCTCGATAAAACTGAGCTTGTAATGCGATGATCTTTACGTTTAATATCCAATGTGTAGTATCAACACGACCGCATATACGTCGGTTTGACAGAAAAACTCATCTTAATTGCTCAAACGCGAGGTTCAGGGGCATTGCACTGTCGGTTTGCTCCCTTATTTGCACAAATCCACTGTCTATGAGTTATATCATTTAGACAGTGAAAAACGCTGACATCCTGTTTAAAAATAGCTTATTAATAATATATGGTAATAAATTTCCCAAAAAATTAACTCCACATTTTAATTAGCAGGGAAAACAATAGTAGCTAAATAATTAAACAACGCAGCGAAAACCACCAAACATTTTTACGTGGTCTTAAAATAATAGCAACAAAAATATTTTCTCTCAAAACAAAGGTTAGGAATGCTCCATGATGTTTATGAAAAAACCTTTTAACAGTTTTTGGTTATTACATTTTTTGTTGCAAAAAAATTATAACTTACGCTTGAAATATGAAGATTCCATAAATTTACTGGAGTAGATAAATGCATATTTAAAGAATTCATATTTATCACTGTAAGTGCCATTTCAGTTTCAGTTTACTTATTTATGCAGTCAGTGCGCAAATTAATACTTGCTTACCGGAATTTCGATTTTCTTCAAGACCAGGGTACACGTAACTTTAAAATATTCATTTATATTAAAATGTTCCTAACAATATTTTAAGAGGGTTTGAACAACGTTTTTGGGACAAAATTTACGTGAAATTTTAAAGTAACCACAAATCAGCTTTAGCCAAATTGTCTGAGATCTATTTAGCGCTTAATAGACTTCGTGGTGCCAAAAATGAGAAAACTATTTTAAAACTTCAATCAGGTTTTTGAATTATGCAAGAGGTTGATATACTTAATCTATTCTTGACAAACTATTTAGTTTATCAGCTACATTACAACTGTAGTGTAAGTTTGTGCAACTAATTTTGCGAAAACTTTATTGCTTTAATTTACTCTTTTTGCTATATTTACTATTTTACTGTGTGTTCCCATTAGATTTAAACATATTTTATTGTAATTTAGTTTTTAAAATACCTAAATAAGTTATTAATTAAAAACAAAGTAATTTGAAACATTTTTGAGAAAAATTCTTACGTAATGGAGAAATTATTCAGCATAAGTCTGCTGTCACATTGAACACAATTTTTCAAATATCAAAAAAGCAGGCCCGTGAATTTATGTTATAATTACAAATAATGTACAATAAAACTTCCAACAACCACACAAGCAGGGAATCTAATTATTCGCCGCCTTCAAGCTCCGGGAACTGAGTTTTTTTAACACGTACCCCAGTGAGATGCTTATCCAGAATATTTCAGAAAAATAATATGCTAACCGGTTTACTTTCTTTTTGTTTCAACAAAAAGATCATCTGAAATAATTAGTAATTACTAAACAAATTTTTAACTTTTAGATGCAGCGGTGGTGTTCTTTCAGTTGTATGACTTTAGGTCAAAACTGCTGAAAAAAATTAGTGCAGAAAAAAATTGTTTATATAAATTATTTGAGGAACGTTATTGAAAAATATCCCGTAATATTGATTGTGCATCAGCAGTGTGAAGAGTTGTAAACAACTTTATAAAACTTTTAGTTAATTAAGTAAATACTTTATTGATGAATTATATTTTAACATTTTTTACGACTTTATTTCCCTTGCGTAAGCTAAGGAAGTATTGTAATGAAGACCATCCGCCGAATGGTTATTTTTAGATTTTTCCAACGTTTCATGACCCCTAGAGTACGAAAAAGTGTCACGCTTTTCCGCCTGTCGTCTGTCTGTGTCGATTTTTATTGGACAGATAGTTTCCTAAATTACCGGAGCGATTATTGGCAAATTTTATATGTGAATACCATGTAGGTGGTAAAACGCTCACCAAAATATTTTTAGAATGGCGTATAAAAGGCAACTCAAAAAAGATAATGAATGAGTCAATTTATTTTATGGATTAAATAACGAACTGGAAAATCGGAATGCTTTGAACTCTTGCAAACATTTCAAGGTTATCGCAAGCAAAGCAAAGTTTTAATCAAAATATGTCCGTCTAGCCACCCTACACCTTTTTTTTTCGTTGGATAAAATAAATTTAGTAAAACTAATCACTCTCTAATTTTTTATTGATCAACGAGTCACCCAATTTTCTCGAAAATTTGAGAATACGCACTAATATTCAAAACCTTTTGTTCGAGTGTTTGAATTAATAATTTTAATTCTCTCTTTTGAAGCGACAAACTCATTCAAATCAAACTAATTTCTACAGGACATTTTCCGGTGTATAAACATAATAAACAGTTCAAGTTATTACTGGGAAGCTATTTTTACTTATTGAGCGTAAGCTAACAATTGTAATAATCGCGTCCATTAGGCGACTTGGTACTTTCATATTTTTTCGATGTTTCATGACCTCCGTACAAGGCCGTAGCTATAGGGAGGCCAGGAAAGGCTGGGTCTCTCCTAGAGAAATTTTTGCCTACCCTAGCCTTAGATAGGTTAAAATTAACCAAATGTGAATTACAACATAAAAAAATCAAAATAAAATGCAATGTTTTATTTAATAAGCCAAAGCTGAAGAAACAAAAAATTCTGGACCATCGTATTGTAATCGGTCATTGCAGTTGGTAGAGCATGTCGTTGATGTAGTTCCTTTATTTCATTCTCACGTGTATAATCTCAACAAGCATGATCGCTATTTGTCTTAAATTACGAATACTTATAAATACATACTTTTATTAAATTGTTTATTTATATTATTGATTAAATCAAGATTCAAGAACTACTCACTCCATTTTCCCAAAATTTTTTTTATATCCGTGCCTTTAAAAAAATGTTGATAAAGAGATGACAAAATTTCATCACAATTTTTTTTTTTTTGTGAAAAAACTCACTAGAAACAAACGTGTAGCACGTTTCTTGACCTATACTTCAACATTACATACATATCTTTATTTTATCTTAAAAGAAAATAAAATTCGCAAAATCAAATCTTATAATTTTTCGAAAGAGCTGGATTTGATGCACTGTACTTTATAGTCGGGGGAAGTTCTGTAGAAATAATCTTCGGTCATTTTTTTGTATAATTTAAATCATTCCCAGACTATTTCATGCGTCCATGATTTTTCTTTTTATGAATTTTATAAATACTTTAAAATTAAAAAAGTTGTCTTTATCTGCCAGAGGTAAATTTGGCACACTATATTCTTTAATTTAATATGACTCAAAATTTGTGTTTTTTCTTTAGGGTTATCTCATTAGCCAAAATCAATATTATCTTAGCAGCTACTAACCCCGCCCACACCCTCTCTCTTCTTAGAGGATATCTCATTTGCCAAAGTCAGTCTTATCTTAGCAGGTATTAGCCCCACCCACCCACTTTCTCTTTTATTAGAGCGTATGTCAATACTAATAGTTTAATATTAAATAACAAAGATGAAGAAGCTGTAACTAAAGCGATACGAGCCGGATTTACTTCTATTTTTTCTTATTAAAGACTGCCCCGTTTTTTTCGTCAAGTCACTAACGACTTTGTTTTAAATCTTAGATTCTTTCACTTGTCAAAATAGAATTCAGTTCCCGTTTTATACTAAATAAAAAAAGTAAGTGAAATGGAGAAAGGAAGTGGGCGGGGAAAAGATTAATTTTTTCTAGTCTTATGACTATGAGAAAGCAGTAGCCCCGCCCACCCACCTCTTCTTTATTACAGTGACTACGTCATTTACCAAAATCAATCTTACCTTGACAAGTATTAGCCCGCCCATTTACTCTCTATTTTCTTAGATAGTATGTCATTTGCCACAGTCAGTTTCATCTTAAAAAGAACTAGAGCCGCCCTCCCACCATTTATTTTCTTAGAGGTTATGTCATTTTCCAAAAACAGTCCTAGCTTAGCAAGTAGTAGCCCACCCGCGCTGTTCTTATTCTAACGATTTTATTTCTCTTCATTATAAGATCCACCTTTCATTCAGACTAGATACAATGAATTACTGAAATTAAGGCGGGTGGGTGGGCGGGGTTAATTATATTTTCTTTTGTGCAGTGGGAATAGGAAGGAACAAAATGTAGGCTGTAAAAAAAGAAAAAAAGCTCTAATCGTAATGTTTTTGTTATACTATTTGTTGTAAGATTTATTTCTCATTTCAGAAGAAAAAAATTGAGAGAATGGGTGGGTGGTCGGGGCTAAGTTTAACTTTATGTTACAAAGTCTTTTATAAACAAGCAATAGGCCCGCCTACCCAGCCTTTATTTTCTTAGAGGGTATACCATTTGCCAAAGTCAGTCTTATCTTAGCAGTTACTAACCCCACCCACCCACCCTCTCTTTTCTTAGAGACCATCTCATTTGCCAAAATCAGTCTTATCTTAAGCAGGTATTAGCCCCGCCCACCCACCCTCTCTTTTCTTAGAGGGTATGTCATCTGCCAAAATCAGTTTTATCTTAGCAGGTACTGATGACTAATTTTTACAAAAAATTATCAAATTTTGAGCATCTGCTCTGGTGTTTAATTGGTTATGGATTTTGTTTTTGTTTATAATAATTTGTAGATGTCTTATTAAATGTTTGTTCGGGACCATTTACGGAGCAAAGAAAAAATAATTTAAAAAATCTTCTTGTCAAAATTTAAATGATATAGC